GCCGTCTCCAGCCATTATTGGTGATGTAAGTCAAATATATTGTCATAAGCCGCGCTCTCTAGCGACATTGGTGATGTAAGTCAAATACATTGTCATAAGCCACGCCCTCTAGTGACATTGGTGATGTAAGTGAAATATATTGTCATAAGCCGCGCCCTCTAGTGACATTAGTGATGTAAGTGAAATATATTGTCATAATTTTATGTTTGAGAAGTTATTAAATGCTATAGTCGTATATGCAAAGTCTTCAAATCTTTGGATGTTACAAGCAGTATATAATATCGCTTTTCTATCGTTGTCAGGTGACTCCTTTTAATAACATTCAAAACTATTACGAGTGTCAGAACTGTGAAGCCTATTGAGGGGCAAAATTAAATATTTTACCTCCAGTATTTCTCGTTTGTAAATCATAAGTAAAATTAATTTTTTCGTATACTTAGGCCTAAGAAATTTCAAAATTACTAAAAATGGATTTTTTTTTATTTTTAGTATTTCCTCGATGTACTTAAACTTTAAGATGATGCGTTGAAATAATTTTGTGCTAAGCCCACTGATATTCGGTCATATAACGTTCACCTATTAGGTAGTTTCGACAAGTTTTGACCTATCAATCAGATAGCTTTTATGTTTCCAGACATCTTTTACCTCATTAGAACACATAGATTTTCCAAATTTGGTATTTGTACACCGAACCAATTTCAGTTCATAAGGAATTAAAGTGAAGACAGGTTTATTTGTAACGTCGCAGTTCATTTAATCAAAACTAAGTTTATTTACACCTTCTTTACAAATGTTTGTAGAATGTTTAGTATAATATTTTTTTATTGTTTTCTGTTTAGCGATTCTCATGAGCAGCCTATGCCCCTTTAATGGAATAATAACAATCACACTTTTTAATATATATAATTATTCCAATTATAATTATATCCAATTATAAGTTATCTTAACTAATGTTCATTGATAGACATTTCTACAAGTTATCTTAACTAATGTTCATGATATACATTTCTACAAGTTAACTTAACTAATGTTCATTGATAGACATTTCTACAAGTTAGCTTAACTAATGTTCATTGATAGACATTTCTACAAGTTAGCTTAACTAATGTTCATTGATAGACATTTCTACAAGTTATCTTAACTAATGTTCATGATAGACATTTCTACAAGTTAACTTAACTAATGCTCATTGATAGATTTTTCTACAAGTTAGCTTAACTAATGCTCATTGATAGACATTTCTACAAGTTAGCTTAACTAATGTTCATTGATAGACATTTCTACAAGTTAGCTTAACTAATGTTCATTGATAGACATTTCTACAAGTCTATATATGGGGTCTATATATTTGTTAGATTAATTGCAATGTTTATTGTATATTTGTTTACATTTTTGTGTGTGTATGTGACTCACGTATTATAAGGAGCCAGGTAACCAACAAACTTGTGAACTCACAAATAATTTGGTAATAGATAACTAAAAGACAGAAATGAAAAGCCAATGGGATAGGTTATTCTATGGCTAAGTATATTTTATTTCATAAGAACCACTTACATTTAATGTTTTAATACGGTTTGACCCAATAGGATTCGATTGAACGTAAACAAGCGATAAGAAATCAGGTATTGAACGGAATGGACGTTCATATACCAGACGTGAACACACACCCAATCCCAGGTAAGACACTAGGGTTTATTAATAAATACACTTTGGGTATTTTCATAGTGTAAACATCATTGTTCTTGTGTTCTATATAATAAACTCTTGTTTCTATTCCGTTTAGATAATTAGTGAATTGTTAACTGTCATGAGATATATATGTCCCCATGTAGAGCGCTTTGTTTTAGGTTTCAAAAATGTGGTATTAACAACACGAGAGTTTGGAATTCTGTACCACCAGGAACAAAAATAATATTCCCCTTTTAACTTCCCAAAGTTTAACAGCTTCGAGATACGTATTGGAATATTAAAACGTGTATTTTATTCCCCTTTTAACTTCCCAAAGTTTAACAGCTTCAAGATACGTATTGGAATATTAAAACGTGTATTTTATTTTTATTGTACGTCTGGCAGTGAAAAACTAATTTGGACACAGATTTTTTTTTCAAACTTGGGTGTTTAAACTATAACCTTTGTAATCTGAAAATATATTTCGTTATTTTGCTGTTGTGTTGGGATATAGAAACGAATTTCAGCAATTTCAGTTTTATTTAGTTACAAATAGTCTGCGATAAAATAACCTTTTTTTTTATTATTCCTGTAAACTCCCAGTGGAGCATAGGGCCGCAACAACACCTTGCCAACGGAAGTTGTTGTTGCAGTTACTTGTAGCAGGTTGGTTTTTACGGGGTGGAGTTGCAAAGGCGGGGGTTGGCATGTTTGGTGTGACAGGGATTCGAACCCGCGACCCTCAGATTACGAGTCGAGCGCCCTAACCACCTGGCCATGCCGGGCCCAAACATAACCTGTAGTTAGGGTAATTTTTCATGGTGTATTTTATAATTGTGAGTGCTTTCAGAATAACTAGCCGGTAAAAAATGTTCGTTATTAATGTATCACGAATAAAATCTGCTCAACCTCTCTCTCTCACACACACACAATAAATTAACTGTACATACACATGTTACATCATTTGAGGTGCTCAAACTGTGCTCCACGAGCATTCAAATAATCATGACATCCACGACGTGAATGTATGTCATGCTGTTACACAGTTTTCAACTCTGGTTCAATGGAAAGCATTTGTGAGCTGTTGCTTTAATTCATCAATGGTTTTGGGTTTATTTTTAGACATCCTCCAATATTATTTAAAATAGAAGTAATTTTTTTAGAATCGATATACAGAATTTGGATCCAACTTAATACATGGATACATTTTTGGGTCACCCTGTATATGTGAGGGGGGGGGTTGAGTGATTTAAGAAGTTATTGAAATTTAGAGCTTAAATTCTAGTTTTTCCTTTCATTATTAATATGTACGTTGCTCTAAGGATATTATGTAATAGATATGTGACCATTATGAGGGCTGGAATTCCAATTTCAGAAAAGATATAGTATATTTATCACTCCTAATCATGTGTTTTTCGGAACTTATTTTTGTTGTTATTGTTTCAATATGAGTTACTATTTTCCCACAAGTGGCTCCAGAAAGTAAATAGTCGAGTTAAATGGGAATATTGTGTGCTTGAGCGCTTTCATCTGTTCCTAATTTTTAAGTATCAAATTAATTGAGTATGTGAGACTTTCCAATAGAGAATAAACCTGTCGGACAATCCATTTCAACTACTATTCAATCTTATTATCTTAAATATTTCTCTCGAACTTTTACCCTCGTTATATTTTTTGTTTGTTTTGATCAAGTTTTTGAAAAAAATTATACATAACTTATTTAATTATGTTGCATTTAAAACACAGAACTATTGATAAAAAAACGATCACAACTCTTAATCTTCCAAAAGACTTCGTTATATATTTTATTCAAGAACAAATTTTACCACTCGAACTGTGAACCATGGACACATTAAAACTATGCTCTCTAGTACAACATTACATTAGCTTCCAAATAACATAAGAAAACCGTGTTCTATCTAAGTACAAGATTGTACATTATTCTAAGGGAAGCATAATTACACGAGTTGTTTTTCAATAAATATCAGAATATAAATTTGAGAACCTTGCTTTCTTCATTTCTAAGCTATGAAAGAGAAGCTGGAAACCTTTGATATTAGTTAAAGTAGTGTATTTTTTTTTCAGAACTTCTTATTAACCTCTGACAACGTTTATGCACAGACTTTTAAGCCATGTATACAGCGTTAGGGAAACAATAATAACAACTAAAAGAGGAAACATATTTTTTTAATTGAGTGCTTAAACCAAAACTTCAAATGAAACATAGGTAGTTTAAATGGTTATTGCAAAGAAGGAGGAGAGAAATTTGATTGTTAATATTTCGGGCGTAAACGACGCACATAGATAGGTCATTCTGAAAGGAAAATTTTTATTCCTACTAGGTTATTCATCTGTGATTTACGTTCCTATTACTACAACAGCTTCCAATGCCAGTGGTATGGTATCTTCTGGTCAGACGTCGGATTTATTGAACAAAATACAAACATGGAGCTCACCGAACTGCTCTTTAAACCTGTCTTCTAACCATACCGATTACATTCAATGTAAACATATCCAACCCTCAAACACTTTCCAAGAATCAGATCAATTAGTTTGTGATAGTGGAACATCATGCTCAGAGGCTAACAATCAAGTAAATGAATCCTCTCTGATCAACCCTACAATAAAAAATAATGCGGTAAATGCTGTTCAAGTAATTCAACTGGGCCAAGATCGTCTTCCAGAAGTTTCGCAAACGAACAACGACCAAGAAACGATAGAGACAAAGTCGATGAAGACCTTATTAAAGCCCGAAATACAAGTTTATGATTTTCCTCATGCTATGACGACTAACCAGTATCTTGCAAAACCACAAATTTCAGAGCAAGCAGATATTATTAGAAGAAATTCCCGGATAAAGTCGCGAGTAAATGAGACTTGTGTGTCTCAAAATGGAGACGTCAGCAGTAGCCAAGCTAATCAAAGTTACCCGTCTGAAGATGTGGAAATCTCAACAGGAACTGCAAATGTGAGACGGAAAGTTGCCTCGACCAGATCAGATGAAATACTATATTACAGTGAAGGTAACATAACATTTTTGTAATTGTTTTCTGTTATTATTTACTGATTTTTAGAAGCAGGGTTTATATGAAAAGAATCAACAAGGCTACTGTTGTTGTTTTTTTAAACAAAAACTACGTAAAATGGAAGTAAAGAAGACAATGTAATGTTGATTTTAGATTTATAGTTAAATTAATTAAACGTGTTGAGTTGTGATAGTTCACTCATGTCACACTCTTATCTATTCACACTAAATCGAATATTTGGCCATTCGCTTAAATTTTAAAACAAACTGTTAGGATATTTTTTTTAATGCTAATATAAATCGATAATCATAGTTTGGAAATTCTTGATTTTGTATAACTAAACACATTTTGAATTAACTCTGATTTGTTTGACACATTGCTATCTGGTTTAATGTAACCAAAAGGTTTATTTGAATTCAGCTAAACTATTGCGTTGCTAGTAAAAATACTTAATGTTTGTAATTAAGCAGAAATCTACACAATGGGCTATCTGTGCTCTGCCCACCACGGGTATCGAAACCCGGATTCTAGCGTTGTAAGTCCGCAGACATACCGCTGTGCCACTGGGGGGCAAAATACTTAATGAGGGCTAGTCAAGTTAGGTAAGCGAAATTGAAAGTTGCAAACACACTAACGTAATGCAGCTACTCGTCACTTATTTCATCAGTTTCGAAGTAATTCTTTAATCACCACATTTTGAGTAAAAACTACGCAGACAAATTAAATGTTATCGTGAATAAAAGAACGTGTGTACTCTGAAAGAGACTTAAATATCAGTCTTGAACTTTTTCACCGTATTCTAGGTAAGGAGGTAGAAAATATTTTGCGGATATTCCGACACAAATTTTTAACTCTTTCGACTGTACAAAGGATAAAACATATTTGTTAGTAATAAATGTTTAATTTTTTTATGTTTTAAGGCCAAGTAGGTAATATATGTGTTAAAATACCAAAATAATATTAATTAATTAACATTTATTCTCCACTTAAAACTTTTTAAACACTGACTCTATAACGTTAATAATAATAGGCCTTGGTGTTGATATTAAGCACAAAGCTACACAAAGGGCTATCTGTGCTCTTCCCACCACGGGTATTGAAACCCGATTTCTAGCAGTATAAGTCCGCAGACATACCGCTGTGCCATTGGGGGAGGGGGCAATGGTAGGCCTATTTGTAGTCTAATTTAATACATAAACTTAACGTAAGGCTTAGCTGAAACACTACTTGGTAAATTTTATTCTGCTTTTGGCTACAACTCAATGTCATAAAACTTCTGAATTAAACTATTTTGCTGTTATATCACCGAATTTATCAAAGAAATATAGAATAAAAAACAAACCTTTCTAACAAATCACCCGGAATATTGAGCATTCAACATAAACACCACTGTTGGCCTAAGAACAATCAGCTGATAGTCTTGTTCCTAATCGACAATGTATATTGTTGAGCATTACCAAATAAGGAGCGTGGAAGTGATCTCGACAGAGTGACAAATGGAATAAGCTGTTTATAGTTAGTGCTTATACGGCATTTACAAATTGCATTTCAGAGAATCTTTTGTCTCTCATTGTCCAGCCAAACTGACGAGGTCTGGTATTAAGGAAAAAGCCTCTTCGGCAGTGACTTATGGGAGACAAAATATAGGTCTGAAGAAGGTGGGAAAATCCATCTGCAGTTAATGTGACTTTTATGCAAAATTGTAAGCCTATTGGTTTATAAAGCTTCTTTACCTTTCGGCGTTTAAACCGTAACTTTTAATGTATTAAATTATTGTTATAATTTTGTAACTTTTTATCATCTTCTATAATAGAAGATTAAATAACTTCTTTTCTTATGTCCTAAAGATAATGAAACAATTAAAATGGTGGCAAAGTTAGATTAACATAGTTTGTATTTCAAGTAACCATAAAATACGGCTAAAATGTTAAAGTGCAGCTTGATGTATGAGGGAAAGAAAATCTCTTGCAACTTACTAGACCCTCAAGGAACTTTCCTTACTGATCAAAATGAAACTTCACTGTATGGAAGGGCAAAAGAAAGCATGCTCCAAAACATGACACAAAAGTAAATATAAGTATAATACGATAGATGCTTATTGTTTGTAATTAAGCACAAAGCTACACAATGGGCTATCTGTGCTCTGCCAACCATGGGTATCGAAACCCGGATTCTAGCGTTGTAAGTCCGCAGACATACTGCGATAGATGCTTATGCCACAGCACTAAGTATAATGCATAGATAGCTCATTGCATGCAGTTTTACCTAATATGTTTTCTATACTTCTTGTTTAACATACAAAACACAGTAAGATGAAACCAATAATTAATAAAAATTTGAATTCTCAAACGGTGCATTTTAATACTTTTTATCTGTCATTGAAAGTATAAATAGTTATAGTGAAACTTTCAGTATTGCTGTTTACATACTAATATAAGTTGTCTTTTCTCTCAAATGAATTATTTTTCATTGTTATTTTGCATATTTTTTCACTTTGAGTTCTTGCTTAATCTGAATCATTTTTCTTTGTTAATACATCTTTTTCATTAACTTTGATTAATCCTGACAAAATGCGTCGGTAAAATAACATAGTAACTAACAATACATTACCAAATGTAAACCTTGTTGGTTCCTTCATGTATAAAGAAGGTTTAATCTTTATCTTCCTTTCAATGTTAGGCCAACAGATTACTCCACCTTCTGGGCAAAGCACGTTTCCGCAGTCAACTAGAAAGACTCCAACTTGCTACTGGGCCTGGAGATATTGGACTGAAAAAGGGTATTCTGTTCCTCCACAAACTGCTACAGCATGTTCTTGCAATAGCTGTTATAGGATCCCTTCTTTCAGATCCTGTTTTCAAAACCGACGTTATCATCCCTATCCACACCGATTTTACTGGTCTAGTGGAACGCCTCAGGGAAAGATTCCAGAAGCTTTTCTACCAGGAGAAATAAATCCTGAAGGCACCAAGGTTATAAACACAATGGAAAATGGAGCTAATAGAATTAACCCAGTTCAATGCAGAAGAAATTCATCATTCGTAAACCGAGACACTCCTAATACATCTTATTCCTTCCCTTATTCCACGGAAAATAATTATGACACTTACTGGTACATGTATTCACCTATAGCCCAAGGATCAGTACCCTCTGAATGTACGTCTTACAAGGATGAAAGACCTGAGGGCTACAAATATCATACTTTCCAACAGTCCGAACAAGAAGGAGTTCCCATAAACCAAGTAAACCCACAGGATAATATATCAACACCTCAACAGTACCCAGCTGTGAGTGAATCCCTGTATACACAACTCACTAATGTTTATTACTCGGGCACTGATATGGATTATCAAACAAACAACGCTACTTGGCAGGCATCTCAAGGGATTGATGCTATTGTCCAAGGAAAAATAATAACCGACTTCGGAAACCCAGATGGTGCCAATGCTGAATATAACACATACAGCCGAAGGAATATTACAGATGGAAGAGATGAAGGTGAGTCAAATTTTTCCACCTTGCCCACCATTTCAGAAGCAAACCATGTGCTAGAAAATAAAGTTGAATATAGTGGGCAGGTTAGCAATGATGTCAATGGAGCTGATTCCACTGCCTTGCATACACACACGTACTCTCGAATGATTGGTAGCAACGAGACTCAGCAACCAATGGATTTATCTCTTGATGTTGCCCCTGAGACATTGGCTGGAAGTCAATCTAGTCAAAACAGTCTCGTTATTGATGTTGAGTCGCACTCGCCGGTAACCAGAGCAGACCAATAATAGAACGTGTTACATTTTGCTGAGAAAGTTGCTGTTCAAGAGGTTTTCTTTTCTTTTTCCCTCTTGGCGTGCCTTTTTTTATTATCATCATAATTATCGTTTTGGTACTTAGTGCAGTGTTATTATTAAAAGTGTTTATGTTTTATCTTACAAAATCCCTTTTTCACAGTATATTTGTTTACCGTGGTTGTTCGTTTTTATTAAAAATTAATGCCCCTTACTTGGTTATTCAGTTCTAATGTAATTGACTTTGTTCATCTGATCTATTGCACGAGTCGGTGTAAAACGATTTTAATAAATACAACTTGTTATATTTTCTGACTTCGTTTAACTTTAAAAAAGTTTCGATATACTTGTTTCGATACCAGTCTAAATGTTATTGTAAAAATGTTAAAGGTTTGTTTGTTACTGTATCGAAACAATTAGACTAATATTTTATTTTATCCCGTCTTTTCCAGGCAAGGTAAACGTAAAGCTACCTACTGCTGTAACTTTAATATATATATATTATTTTATTTATATATATATATATGAGAGCGTTTTGTGTTAGAGCTTGAAATGAAGTTATAGTCGTGATGTTCCAAAGTTTTCCAGCATTTTCTTGGCTGTATTAGAATTTATAAATAGTCTTACATACAACGTCATTTAACAAAATGATAAACTTTAACCAACTTAAATACTGCTAGAGGACGTGAAGTATTCCAAATAGTTGACAAGTCGAATATTATTTTGGTTACTAAAGTTTTTCAATCTTCCATATAAAAAATAACAATTAGAGGCGTTATACAATTAACAACAAAATGTTCTTCGTTTTTTGTTGTTGTTTTTTTTTCTCATTACTAAAATTTTTAATTTCAACGAGAAATAAACGCGAAGTCCAATCTTTTATTCGACTTGATCTTTGGCAATGGCTCATTGAGTTAGATCGGTCGTGGACTTGATCCTTAGCAACGGCTCATTGAGTTAGATCGGTTGTGGACTTGATCCTTGGCAATGGCTCATTGAGTTAGATCGGTTGTGGACTTGATCCTTGGCAATGGCTCATTGAGTTAAATCAGTTGTGGACTTGATCCTTGGCAATGGCTCATTAAGTTAGATCGGTTGCGGACTTGATTCTTCGCAATGGATCATTGAGTTAGATCAGTTGCGTTGCCAATGATCAAGTCCGCAACCGATCTAACTCAATGAGCCGTTGCCAATGATCAAGTCCGCAACCGATCTAACTCAATGAGCCGTTGCCAATGATCAAGTCTGCAACCGATCTAACTCAATGAGCCATTGCCAATGATCAAGTCCGCAACCGATCTAACTCAATGAGCCGGACTTGATCATTGGCAATGGCTCATTGAGTTAGATCGGTTGCGGACTTGATCATTGGCAATGGCTCATTGAGTTAGATCGGTTGCGGGAAACTATTCCTCCTAATTAGTAACCCGGGACAAGGGTAAATCGATAAACAAAGTAAGACTTATTGCAGTTAATATATTAAATATGCCTGGTAAACGCTGCTGTTCTATTTTGAGTAAGATATCTTGTACTGGGCCTGTCATGGCCATGCGGTTAGGGCGCACGACTCGCAATCTGTTGGTCACGGGTTCGAATGCCCGTCTCACCAAATGTGCTCGCTCTTTCAGCCGGGGGGGGGGGGGTTATAAATGAGGAGCAATTCCACTGTTCGTTGGTAAAATAGTTGGCGGTGGATAGTGATGACTATCTTCCCTCTACTCTTTCACTGTTAAATTGGGTACGGTTAGCGCAGATAGCCCTGGTGTAGCTTTACGCGAAATTCAAACCAAATCTCTTGTACTGGTGGTCTCTAAGTTATATGTAATGTGTTTAAGTTGGCCTCTACTCAACATATTAAACTTATGCTTTCGTATGTAATTGAAGAAAAACAAACTTATATCGATGACACTTCAATCATCAAAATCACAAATAAGCAAGATTCTGTAAACTTTTCATAAAAATATTTCCCAAGTAAGTTTATCGTCACTCGACATTGTAATTATAATCGTACATACATACAAACAAAAACCGATAACCAATGTCTAACTAACCGTATTTTATATTTTTCCAACATTTCAGGCAACCTTCGTTAGGTTTAGTTTTTTTGGGTTTTTATATAATCTCCCAAATACTTAATATTCACAAAAATTAGGATAAACAAACAAGATTTATATGATAAGACATATCTATTATGATTTATACCTATAACGTATTGTTAGTGCTAAATATTAAGACATGATTGATTTCGGAATGAAATAAATTGATAAATTCGTGACTGGTGGTTTGTTTTTAGTGCAAAGTTATACAACAAGCCATCTGCACCCTGTCCACCTTGGGGAAATCAAATCCTAAATTTGAACGTCGTAAGTCTGTAAACTTACCGCCAACCAACCATAAGACAAATAATTACAGTTGAATTAAATGACCTTTGTTGGTTTATATCACCAGCAGACATAAGTTTTATCATTTAAAGATGGTAAGAGTAATGGTGATTATAAATAATATTGATAAATTTAGCTGTATTCAACATTTTAAAATAAACACTGTTACTGTCAATTGGTTAGTGCTAATAAAAGAGAAAAATCGACTCTGTTCACAGAAACGAAACAGTTAACTGATATGTCAAGTGGTAATCATATTAAACTGTGAAACTGCCTAAACTAGTATACACATTAATTATGTTTAAAGGACTAAACTAGTTTGATCTTAATTATCAAAAGACTGCTAAACAGACGACCGATTACTCAAATTTATATCGAAATCGTTATTAATATTAAAACAATATTACATAGTATGTATGCATACAAAGTTTTTATACAGAAATTTTGCATATCTCAACTTAAAACGATTGTGGAGCATCACCACGTCGTTACAGTCCGTGTCTCCGCGTCTGGTCATACTCTGTCTGACGATCGTGCCCTGCAGCATAGTTTCAGTTTCAAAAGGCTCTGCCGTATGGTTATCGTAAGTAAAGCACGCCATTACTTCCTGATTGCTTTCCATATTCCATCTAGTGAACGTTTAAATAGTCTAATAACACAAAAATCAAGAGAGATTGCGTTTGGTGACTTAACTAGTATGTTTTCTTATTGAATAACATGAATACTCGTTTAACTTTGTAAGGTGGAGGTGTTGAGGAAGCAATTTGTGTACACTTCATTCGTATTGCTTTACCAAATGGAAATCTTTCTTGATTATGTTGTGTACAGTTGCTTGGGACACGAGGACAGCTTTTGTGAAAGATGATTCTTATCTGCTATATGACACTGCACTCTGTTGGTCCTCGTGCTACAACTTGATCCATATTCCTTTGTTTTCCAAAGCTATTAAATACAAGGGCTATATCAGTCTTGGAAATACTAAGTCCCCAATCTGAACAGGACTTCACAATATGAGTTTACGAATATTTTGCTTTAGAAAATGCTGTGATATCCTTCCCAAAAGCGATCACTTTTAGGTGACATCACACGGTCTACGAAACTCAAAACAATTACCAAATATTCCGATTCATACATTTCACCACGACTTTGTATTGGCCGTCCTTATCATGTTACGTGCTAACATGCATATTCAAAATCGTTCTAATATAAAGTACACAACCCTCTGTATACATATCATTCTTACAATTCACAGGTCTTTAAGCAAAAGTAGTGGGTGTATATGAAAACAAATGAAAGTTAAGTTTAAAAATATATATATATAATAAATTTCAAGTACTTCAAAATGTTTACAAGCACATACTACGCATACATATACATATCAGTCATTCGACACCTTTTTTACACTTCAAAAGTACAAGTTCCTCAGCTGGTTATCTTCAAATTAGAAAGTAAACCTTCAGGAATAATCTTTATTGGATAGCTAAATTTAAACTATGAGTAGTATGAAATTCGAAGATTTTGTTGCTAAGAAATTAGTGAGTGAATATTTTCACGGAAAAACACCTGTTAGACTGAGCCCTAATTTTACTTTCTGAGAGCCTTTCCCTAGCAGTTACGCAGAAAATTACCAGAAATTGAAATGATTTGGAGAAGAAAAGAACTTTGAACGACTGATTACAGGAATTAGGTGTAGTACTTCTAAAATAAAATTCAGAAAAGCATGTAAGTTAACCCGTGGTGGTCAGGGCACAGCTAGCCTATTGTGTAGCTTATGTGCTCAACATAAAGAAATAACGCTGGACTGTCTTTTCTGAAATCTTACCAATCAGACATCTGTCAAAAATATACAAATGAAAAAATTCACCATATGGCTAGCGTGCTGCACTGTGAATACGACAGTCTGTGGTTAATGTCCCGTTGCCATGTAAACGAGCTTCGCACTTCGGAGCCATCGATGCGTTATAGGTGGCAGTCAAATCCCACTATCAGATTAAAGGTATTCCCAAACTGGCATTAGGTGCTGCGTTATAGGTGGCAGTCAAATCCCACTATCAGATTAAAGGTATTCCCAAACTGGCATTAGGTGCTGTTGACTAGCTGCATTTCCTCTGGTCTATCAGTTCAAATTTAGGCATAGCTAATGCTGATATCCTTTGAGTAGCTTTGAGCGAATTTCGAAACAAACTAGCTAACTCAATGAAATCATCGTAGAAGTTTACTCACAGGAATTGAATCCAAAAGATTAGGAAAAGACGAAAGAAAAGTTATTAAAAACTTCGAAAGAAAAATAACTATAATTAATCCTTCAAATAAGACTAAAATATTTGCTATACATATAACTAAAAAAACTAGAGAAAACGTCTATATTTCAGTAACAATTATAGCGATTCTAAAGAGAAAGCTAAAGCTGAAACCAAGCAAATTTTATACCGTTATGTTTGTCTGTTGAATTTTCGTGCAAAGATATCAGCAGGCTACTGGCGCCATCTCTAGTCTCAAAGCGATATACTACAGGGACAGCATCTAGCCAACATCACACACCGCTAGCTCTTGGGCTATTTTTTTACGAACAAATAGTTGGATTGACCATCGCGTTTTAACTTCCTCACGGCAGAAAGGGCGAGCATACCCGATAACG